CAGATTTTGGTGAGCGACACGAGGGACCCAAATTTCTTAATCGCTCGACAATGGCCCTCTCGAAGTCCGAGAGGTTATCCGGCACAGAAAGCAACAACTTATCCGAGCTGTCGCCGACTTCCGAATCGTTCCCACACCTCTCAACGTTCTCGGCACCGCCACTGGGCGCCGCCATAATAGAAAGGAGAAACACCAGGAGGCGACCAATGTCTCGTCACTAACACTGCCGGGGTTTTAGTTTCTATATTTTAAAGCCATCAGTGTAATTCGTTTGTTAAAGTAGAAAAAAACACATATAAGAATGATAACATTATCAATCGGTACACATATGCAACTTGCGACGTCTTTAAATTTCTAAAAAATAACTTCGCCTTCTATGTTATAAAAAAAAGAGAAAAAACATGAGGAGGAGCAACGACGAGGCGGAGTTACACGCGGATTCATAACAAACTCTTTCGCACATCAAAAAATCTTCAACGCAAAAAGGAATTAAAAAAAAAATTGCCTTGAAATTTTTTGAGGGTTGTCAGTCACGCATTTTTGAACCGTCAGAGACAATAAAAAAGACATCGACGTTGGGGCTGTTGCGGCCCTTTAAGAATACAGATGTAGCAAACTCCTACTTTTTTATTTCACTTTGTTCTTCGAAGTTATATAAATGACACGAAATGTGTAACTCAACTGTTGTATTAATTGTTGCATCAAACATACAAGGAGATCAGAAGAGGGACCCTGCACGGTGACCACAGCACCTACAAAGATCGGTGCTGAAACTGGGATAAAGCCTCTCTCCTTCCTAACTGTCAGCATTCTGGGAGAAATATAACGTGCCCGGGCCTGGTTTTTTGGAGCCGCGTTGCGTGTTTCACGGATCGGAATGCTCATTTAGATGGAGGAGGCAGCAGCACCGACACTCCTCATTCCGGCTGCCCAACAGACCGTGTCAGGAGTCGGGCGAGGGCGACGTACAACGTGGCGCGGGACTTGGTTTACACTCAGTTTCAGCAGGCGAAGAGGGAACGCGTCGAGTCTAGGGTGCCTTCATGAGCGCACATGAAAGCTCCCTAGTCGAGTCCATTGCAGCGAAGGAGCAAAGCACGTGATAGTTCTCCGCAGGAAGAATGGGCACCGACTGTACGTGGTCACGTGCCTCGCTCGTGGTTGGCTCGACGGGGCCGTAGCTTTCGCCGTTTGCCAGCTTACGCTGAAACGGAGCGTACTGTGTGACGGGACGAGGCCGCTTCGGAGCGACCGGAATAGCAGAGGGTCGAAGCCTGCCCCTTGACTCGGACGTCCTCCGTTGTTTCCGGTGTCTCTTTCGTGGTACGCGCGGCAACTGGAAGCTTTTTCTGCAAACTCAAAAGTCACGAGCGAGATTTTTTTTTCTCAGGGGAGGTCTGGATTTTAGAGTTGGAACCTTGCTCTCCCGTGAAGTTACTTTCCCCGCCCCAATTGAGGTTACTTCGTCTTTTAAAGCAGGGGTCTTCAAACGCCGCCACGCGGAGTTCTTCCGGAAATAAATGAACTGCGTAAAGGACGAGGACAGAGGTAGAAACGAGTACGACACCTCTGTCCTCGTCCTTTACGCATTTCCTTTATTTCTAGAATCATGAACCAACTAGCCCGCCAAAAGGTGTTACTTGAGTTCTTCCGACCGACCAGTGGCTGACCGCGGTCCTCCCAGTAAGCCCGGCCCGTTTCCAGCAGAGCCAGAGACAGAGAAGAGTTTGGCCAAGAGGCGTGGCCCGCTTGACGGCTCGTCAGTCACGTCACTGGCACGTCACGCTAGCGTCGCGGGCACGCCCCACTCCGCCATTTTTGTTCTTACCCGCGCCGGACGACTACGCCCGTATCGCTGCTCTCGATAACTGCTAATGTATGGTCGTTTTGATTTCTGCTTTTGTCAGTGTTTAACGGCATTTAATCTCTGCGGTGTTTGAGGGGAGAGCCATATTTAATCAGTTCCACGGTACCCTTGTTTATTCTCCGCCCGTACGTCCAGTGATGCTTCCAGGTTCATAAAAAAAAACAACTGCTTACGCTCAGTCAGACTCTGCGCTTGGTGTGTCGCAAAATTTCCACTGGGATAAAACGCTCGTGGTTTGCAACTCTAGTTGGGACCATTCATATCTGTTGGTTTTGATGTCGGGGTACGACGATTTAAATTTCCGACGCAGTTGACAAGTTCCTGGCAGAATATTCGCATCAGCGAGTGCCGACGTGCGATCGCGCGTCAACGACGTGAGATATGTGAGGTGCACCCGCGTTCGCTACGAAATCTACGAAACGCGCTTTCACCGAAACTATGAGCGATTGTAAACTGAAATTTGAAAGGGAGCTATTCACCCGAGATGGTTATTTGCAACCGTGCTTCTGAGCAGAATTTCTTCGCGATATGCGCCAAATGACATGTGTAGTTTGGAGTTATATTTTTAAATGAGATGATCTCGTCATGCGTGCGTTTTTGTTCTGTCAAAAGAGGGCTTTCGGTAATGACAGACATTGTTGTATGCAACGTTTTGAGTGGCAGGCTACAATACAAATTTGTCGTGCTAGGCCCCTAGAGAACGCTAGTCTAATTTAGCTTGATCTGGAGACAAAAAAACAGGTTTTTTTATACATCAAATATCATTGATTTTAAACCGTCAAAACAAAACACACAAAGAATGTGCAAACACTGTTGGAATGACAGCCTGCTCCAATTTCTTCCAGCCATCTGAGCGATCTTGCTCAAACTGCGATTCTTCAAAATGAGACTAGAAAAAATATAATTCATTGTACCTAAAAACGGCCTATAATTAACATTTAAATGCACAGTTGCTTCATGTACATTAAATCCAGGACAACTTATAACGTTCAATTTATTTAGCAGTTACTTGTTTAAACAGGGCTGTCATAACCAGGGCCCCTTAGAAGTTGCAGCTAGTGAACATCGGAAATGCATATAATTAGAGTTAACTTTGCCGTTTTGTTTTGTTTGATTTATATTCCATGTGCTCGTATATCTTGATGCAACAAACGTCGTACCTTTAGTGATCCCACATACGTATTTTGATTGCAACGAACTATAATTATGTTTCGCTTTGCTTGAGTTAAGCCAAAGTTTGAACTGCATGTATGACCAGATCACTGCTATTGACAATTATTTATAAATTCGTACCGTGCGTGATCGCATCTGTAGAAAAATCCCCATTTACATGGGGAGTTTTGAAATAAATGAAAGCATTCTTAACCTCACAAAGTCGGTAACCTGCCGTCGGCGACCACTTATTTCTCGCGTTTTATTTTTATTAAACAAACTTTCCGTCGTTTTTTTTTTTTTTTATAAATAAACAACCGAAGGCCGTCACGGTTGCTGTTAGAGCACCGAACGGCACGGCAACAAATTATTTTCGTCTTGGAAGTAAAAATAAAAGCTCCGCAAATCAAAGAGCCGGTAAACCCCCAGGGTAGCCTACGCGCGCGTACACAAAAATGGTGGACAGGAGCGTGTCGTGTGCAGCGCGTTCGTCGTTGCCACGCGGTTGCTAGGGCCAACGTCAACGCCGGTGAGAGGAGTTAAGGGTCCGCCTGGGTTCACCGGGGACAATAGATGGCCAAACTATTTCCCTATCTATGGCTCTGGTTTCCAGCAAGCAGGCCCGCCTCTACCGGCGCAGAATAAAAGCGCGTGTGAAGAAACGGTGCAATGCGGTCCTATCGCCGTATTATTAATTGGTCATTGTCACTATACTAGCATCACCATTCTTAGTCTTCTTTGTCATAGCTGTGCAGCTACGTATGTTAAAATTTCTCTACGCTCTTACGCATATTGTGCTTAGGGTCCTGTGTCGTAAATGTATTGCATATTGTCAGCATCAGTTCAATCATTCTCATTAGTCCTCTGCCCCGTGTGAGTATTCCAAAGCCAGAGATGAACTCGGTGTGTTCGATCTTTGGTAGATTTTTTATTAGAGAAATTGGCCGTGCATCGTTATGAATAATGGATTTCTTGGCGTGCTTAGAGCCCGCAGAGTGAGTTATCGTCATATTTAGGAGAATTGAAAAACCTCCTCTGGGCACCTTTAAGGTGGCAGTAAAATGTATGGGCTTCGGGCAAAGGGAGCATAAAGACAGGCTTTTCATCTTCATAAGTGAAAGCTACGTGCTTTCTAGACCAATTAATCACCTAACTTTTATGCCAGAACTTACTGTACAGATGAAAAGCCTGCCTTTATTCTCCTTTTCCCCGGAACCCACGCATTTCACGGTAATTTGAAGCGTGAGTAGAGGATTATGAGGGAAATCGGTGGGCCGAGTGGGCTAGCGCACACCAGCTCGGAGCACGTGGAGCTAAAACGCGCTGTAGAACCCAGAGTTCCTGTGTTCAATCATGCCCTTGCCCGTTTCGATCTGGATGTCCATAGTACCGGCGTGCGGTCGTGTATCACTACTGCGTGGTGCACGTTAAAAACCCCAGGCTAGCGGTCGTACTGCACTGGATAAATTGCTTATCTACTGTGGGTAACAATGTCGCCATGTTCTGGCAGACTAAACTCCTGCTGTATAAACTACTAACGACTAATTTTTTGTTTTGTTTTGTTTTTTTGGAGAACTATGACGGCAATTTCGTTGCGTGTGCTCGAGTACCCCGGCGTCTGCTGGCTCGTGGAAAGATCGTGCGCCGCTTATTATGGACACTGAAATGTTTTGTTCAGCATCCCTTTAACTGCGCAAGGCCGATTCATCAAGTTAGGACAAAGGAGAAACCCCATGAATTGTTCTTCCGGTGGTCCGAAGACGGGGTTCTTAGCGTGCCGGCAGAGGGCGGCGGCGGCAATGACTCCGTGTGCCAACCTTAGTGTGCGACTTGTACAAAGATGCGACTTACTCATCTGAAAAGACGCTGTAACTCGCAGGCGGTAATCGGAGAAAACTTTATTCTGAAAGTGCGCGCTGCACTTCAGAAAAGGGGGTGTTGGACGGGCTCTCGTGCTTAGGGTGGATCTCCGGCATTGCAGGACTGCGTCGCGAGGACTTCAGATCGGCGACGATGGTGATGATGATGCTTACCTTCCTGTTCGCCCTGTTCCTGGTGGCCGGCATACCGACCCTGGTCCGGAAGAGGTGCAGGGAGAACAAGCAGCGCAAGGCCGCCGCCTCAGTCATCGCAGTCCATTTCGTCAACAGCCACCTACATGGCGTTGAGCCCGCGCTCACCATAGCCGAGGGGCAGGCCCACCCAATGCCTCAAGGGCGCGGCGCCGGGTTGTCTACGTCATCTAAAGGCAACCAGCACTGAGTACAGAATGGACACGAGTGCTGAGAACAACGTTCGGATGGGGCTTGTGCTCAATCAGTGAGATCACGAGTTCCGGCCGTACGCTGTCGCAGTGCTCGTGACCCATCTTAACCCCGCCTTCGATTGATGGCGTAGACAACCCAGCACTTCAGCCGTGTTATCTAGGAGGGTTTGTCTCAAAACGCATCCACACCTTCGGGGCTTTAAGAGGCCGCTACGCTGCGTGGTGATCCTGAATTGTTCTAAGGGACAACGGCAGCGACAATCGCAGTAATAGTGCATATGCTGCATGATAATACTCTTTAATGGTAATGTGCATTTTATTTTAGGGTGATATATTTTGGGTTTACAATGGTGGTTCTCATTTCACTCGATCGTGTCTGTCGGCCACGTTCATGAGTACGCTGCGTATGCGCCTGATGGAATGACTCAGCAGGCTGTGGGTCACAGATTTCAGTTCTGCGAAAGCGGGGGTCTGGCTGCCTAGACGGGGAGTCATTTCCGCGAAAAAGTGCCACAAAGAGGGATAACGTTCTGCATTAAATGCTCTCGAAGATTGCGGTTTTCGGAGCCTGGAATTTCTAGAATGAACTCTTTAGTACTTACTGAACTTTCAAGGCATTTATTTTTTCAGCTATACTATTTTCTTTTTTGCAATGTGTGGACAGAGATCAAGTTCATTAAGATGTTATGAGGGAACTTGTATTTTATTTGGTGTATAACCTTGAGACTAAAGACATCCCCTGTGTAGAAGGTTTCAGAACTGTGTTACTGTTTCTAAATAAATTCTTTGAACATTTTGAAGCACCTTGAACAATTGGCTGTACGGTGGTTTACTTTGGCAATCCAGATAGCCGGAAGAGTCGTCCTGCGCTATTGCGGCAACAGCGAAGACGAGCAATTGCTGGTGTGCGTTTTTGAATTAAACAATATCTGAAGAAACTATACTTAACAAAATTCGCGTTAAACCGTTTCAGCCGTCTTGATATCACATCAAAATTTCCTGGTGACTACAAAACAAGTACAAGAACTAATTCCCCAAACCTGGACGTCATATGTAATCGCTGTAGTCAGGGTAGTATAGTAATATTAAAATTGGTAATTTAATAACAAAATTACAACATGTTGTATATTTCAAATGTATCGTTCAGGCTCTTGCTTAATTTTATTAGGTATACGCTGGTTTTATTAATTGCTTTCAGACACTGGTTCTCAAATGAAACTACACCATCCGCATTGCACGAGATGTCCCAAAAATGCGCTCGAAATATCAAAGTACTAAGCACATATAGGGAAGGAACAGTCGACTGGTTGGTCACTTTCGTTAGAAATTGTTATACGCAGGATCATAATTAAACAATACACTATAACCTGCAGTTTGAAGAAGACCTGCGACGATCATAAACAAGCCACGAGGGTTATCATCTAGATTAGAGGGAAACAATTCACCTTGCAAGCAAAGAGCTCTTTGGCCTTCTCTATTTTCCAAGAGGAATTATTGGTGAAGCATATACTAGGTAAACGCAAGTTCAAATGCCCGGTGCTAATAGGCCTGCTAGCAGAAAAATCCCCAAAGTACAAGCAACTTCATCGACACTCAAACGTAAAGGGTAGGGCAATGTCAATCCTTAACCCTGTCCAAGATCCACGACCTTTATAAGGCTCTCTGAGCCTGCGTTTTCCGCCTAACCCAACTTTATTGCCAAATTTATAAAATCAGTTCTTTCCATGCATTGGGCTGAAAACAAAGAAGGACGTTCATCTTTCAGAAAAATCATATCATGCCGACTTGGCGCCAAGCCCGTTCTCGCTGTTTAATATTCTCGTTCCTGATTCGAAAGTTGTTTCTGACATGAGCTCTGCATTATCATAATCGTTCTTCCCTTAACATTATCCACACTGTTAATAACGTCTAGCTTTTTCATGCGAAAAGATTTGGAGCCTCGTATTGAACAGTAACACAGTAAGGCATCTTTCACATGCATCGTCAAGGTCCCATAGCTGTCCGAAAAATGTCTGATAGCCGTCCCACAATATTCACGGTATCACATGAGACAATCTGCACAGAGGATACCACGAGCAATTTTCGTAACTTCCTGCAACCTCCCTCTCATGAGCCATGGAGGACATGTTGCGCGTTACGAACGCATCTGCACGACTTCAAGATGGGCACCCTGTAAATTTTCCTCTCGCCGTTGGGACAAAGCAGGTGGACTCTTTTAAACCGTGTTTGGCCGTTCGCGCATGACCACGGAGATCCGTGGGGCAGCGTCGCCGTAGAACTGTCCGAGTACCAGGGCAGCTGATCGAGCGGTAGGCAGGCGCCGGCGCACACCACCTCGGTCAGGGGACGGGCCGAGCTGCAGTGGCCGTCGGAGATGTACCGCTTGGAACGCAGCTCCTTGCAGCCCAGCTGGTGGCTCGAGATGCCTGTGAGAGTGGAACGTGTTTTACGTCAAATCTTTCAGCGTGTGCGAAGACAGCACTAAGTCATGACTTCGTAAGATGCGCGGGCTGCAACAAGCTGGCGTTTGAGAAATTATTTGCGGAGTTGATCGTGCTAGAAGATCTGTATCCAAATTGATGACCGTATACACTAAAACCCTTTATTTTCGCGGCCCCAATTTTTCGCGAATCGGTCAAAGATGACATAATCGCGACCACTAAATTTCGCGAATTCCGGACGCCTGCATTGAAAATCTTAAGGATCGAAATTTTCGCGCGCCCTTAAATTTCGCGAATTTTTCAATTCGCGAAATTCGCGAAAATTGAGGGCTCGCGAACATTAAGGGTTTTACAGTATTTGTAGCAAAGTCTATACGTCTTTTACACACCAGGAACCATACCAATGTACAGTCTTTCACAAAGCGTACAGATAAACTTTATTTGCTTTGATAATGAAGTTGTCAGAATATATGAGTTAGGTAAGTTAGATTTAGATGAGTTCCTATTTTTCTTTGATTGCGAGAACATTGGGATCAACCACGTTATCACTAAGACTTTTTCAACATTTGTCATATAATTTAGCTGGCTCTGCGCTTTTTTTAAACCGTGTGATATTTTTTAGAAATTGAGAGTCACGTTGACTCTACTTCAAAAATTATTCGGAGTTATCTTTAATGCTTACATTAAACACTACTAAATTGTTTTGTGTACAGATATTCTTTCACTTTTAACGATATTGAGCAGAAAATGCGGGGGAAGTCGTAAATACTCCCAAATAAACTTAAGGCCAGGATTGGGAGACATTTGCTTTAGTTCCCCCAGGAACTCCCAGATGGCGCGATGAGCGGACTACAAGCGAAGAAGCGGGAAGCGGGGTCGGACGCGCTGAGCCGATGATCGCCGCTAGGCACCCTTCGTCTTCCCCTTCCTTTTCCCCTCGAAGTGAGAGAGAAGTTTGCGGGTGGGGCGGGCGGTGGTCAACTGGGTCGGCTGGTCGTGCGGTCCAGCCGTCGGGCACAGGAGCACATCGCTTCAAAAAGGAGGTGTTCTAAGCAACCAGTCGCTTACTGTTTCTGGCAGGGTTTTTTTTTTTTTTTTTTTGCTGATGTTGAAAAAGAATATTACTTTTATTTGATATAGGTCCGTCAGCTCTGACAAACATATTTTCCTAATTTAAAGGCAAATAATACGTGCCTAACAACACAAAACTTCAAACATATCATAACAACATTGACTTTCGAGTGTATCAGTCTGAAGATCAAGATGCAGTATGGTTGTTTCCGAATATATGCGTATATGCTTACACATGTAACCTGGATTTGCAACTAAAACGCAAGACCTTATTACTCAGATTTTCAGGGGCCGCACTTGAAATATCCGACTCCGAAAGCTTTGCAAACTAAGCATGTGTTTTGTATAGAGAACACTAGTAACGTCGGTGCTATTATACTGCATAAAGAAGCCAATGAATAACGTTCGTGTTAAAGGGGTACTAAAGATTCTACTGAACGTGGATTCATCGGATAACTTAGTAATCGCTTAACGCTGTTTTATTCATGTTCAGGTTAGGAAATTTATAAACGTTACAATTTCAAACCGGATTTCTAGGCCTTCGCTGTGAATATTATATGAGCTTATCAGATTCACGTCTCAACATTAAAAGAACTAGTTTTGCCCCCTTTATCACGCGCTACAAATTGTGATGTCCTGATGATCACTACGTAGTTTCCATGAGCACCAAATTTTAGTATTTATTCTATTCACATTTCATTCTTCTGGATGGAAGTAAACAATCAAAATTCGTAATTAGCTTCTAAGGGGGCAAAAAAAACAAAAAAAAACATTCGCACATAAAAAGAGAGTTTTACATCTGAATTTTACAGTTGCGACCGCTGAAGTTGAAGAAAACTTTCTGATACGCGGTCAGTTATCCAAAACTAAGACGCGAGTTTGCCTAATTGTTTTTCTTCCAGGGTGAAAAGCAGTTTGCTGTAAAGAAAAGAAAGAAAAACAAGACACAACGCTTTTTTGCGACTTTTAGGGTTACATTGTCCTCAACCTACTTTCTTACGGGACAGAAACAAAGCAAACCCCTTCCTTATGCTTGCAAACAGCTAACAGCTAATATGCCTAGTGAAGCCTATACACGTTTGCAAGTCCGGTCTCAGGGCGCCGCCATCTTCCTCAGTGGGGTGCGCTCTTGGCGCGGCCATAATCCGATTACGACGCCTTAGCAAGGCTTCGTAATTGGATTATGACTCGTCCGAGCGCACCCCAGCCAAGCAAGATGGCAGCGCCCTGAAGCCGGACTTGCAAACGTGGCCAGTCCGACTAAAGAGCTAACAACAATCCTGTATTGTGACGACTGAACGTAACATATGAATATGACATTGAAAAAAAAAAACAAAAAAAACGTTATGTACCTTGGGGTGGCGTTGGAACAGAGGGAGAGGGGACGGGTTCAATAGCCCGCCCCTCTCCTCCTATAAAAATTGCAAAAATTCGAAGTAAACAATGCGATGAGGGGCCAGAAAAACGCTCTCGACTCGCCTAACACGTACACACACATTATCACCACCGTCAATGGCCGTTGCCACTGTCACCCCTGATATGGAAGCCGGGTAATTCAGACTTGGTAGGGCGCCTCCCCCCTCCCCCCTCCCCATACACACACATAGATACACCCCTCTTTCTCCCTCCCCTTTAAATAATATCGAGACAACTATGTGAATATGTAGGCCCAGGAAGTTTTTACATGTTCGACATCAAATGGAGTGCTACCAAGTGTCTAACCACGCCTTGTGTCAACGACACAAGCGAGTTTAGAAACTTGCCGGTGTCGTTCGACGTTTTCGGTCTACGATCTATGTCGACGTGTTTGATCTACGACATGTACTTCGAAAATAACACCCCCAATGTTTTAAAGGAACTTACTAGTTCGACAGGAGAGGAGTTTGAAATAATATCGCATGGAAGGTCACAGTACTTAGTTTTGGGGCGAAAGAAGAGAGCTTTCGGTTTATGGTCACTTATTTTTAGATTATTTGAACTAGCCCAAGTTTCTAAGTTTTTTATGGTGTCATTAGCTATGCCCCCGACTTCCCTGCCGAGACTTCATACTTTAGGAGCTTCTGGACGCGGATGGCCCTTCGACGCAAATAATCATGTACTCAGAGTAGCAGAGAGCGAAACGAAGGAGGGGGGTTAAACCACCAAGGATATTGCAACAGAGCCATCCCACGCCAAATTTCTGTTCACAAGGACATCTGGCTAAAGCGCCGTTCACACTCTTGCAACCGAGTACGATTGAGAGAGACCAGACCGGTTTTTAAGCCTCTTGCGATCTCTTAAGACCAGCTCCGCTGCCTCGCATCCGGTCCTAAGGAGTCGCTCTCAGTCGTACTCGGTCGCAAGAGTGTGAACGGGCCTTTACAGGATGGCGACCCCGCCTCGACACTTGAGAAGCGGTCCCGTCGCCCGAGGAGGGACACTTTTGTAAAAATTTAAGCCGTGCGCAGCCTCTCCTCCTCTGGTCGGAAATACCACTGGGAGGGAAATTCGCTTCGTCGGTTCTCTTCGCAGCCTTGGCCCGACGGACGGTGTACGCTAAGCGGATTGTTTTCCCGATACCCTATTCACGCCGTAGGCTGAAAATGGGGTGGAAGATACGCGCTTGTTAAACCACTCATACCGTCATCTCTTTGCCACGTGATCACGTTCTCGTCTATACTCACGCACAGAGAGGGGAGTCAGGTGAGGAAAGAAAGGCAGGTGATTGATTCTACAAGCCCGTCGCTTCTACCGTACTGTCAGCTTAAGGGTCAACAGAGTAGAACCCAGGTAGTACGCGGATTTTTAAGCTTTAGAGCTTACGTTGACATAGTCTTCTGCTTTATTGTGCTCACTCCCTATTGTGAATTATCTAGTATTGACTGTACAATACGCGTGTCCACAATCGGGGGAAGTTGACTATAACCGAAGGGAGAAAAGGTAACAAAAAAAAAAAAAACAACTAACGAAACAGCTATTCTGCTTTCTGCTCTTACAAGCAGTTTGGAGCGGATGCACATTTTTTTCTGCACCCTTCCCGGATGCTCTGAACTGCTGTAGTAAAAACGAGAACACTATGGATTGGTAGCTCCTCTGAGACTCTCTCGCCGTAGGACGTGTATTTAGTCATTTCAATGCATATAGATTTGATGTGAACTTCTTGGAGCGGTGTTTAGGCGCACAAACTATTAATTTCACAATGAGTGCGCCAAGTACATTTTATTTTTATTCATTGTTTTTCTTCCCACCACCGATTTTTATCACGATGTAACAATATTACATTGTTTTATTCGGTGTTTTCAAAATAAACGCCCGGAAATACATATTTATTAAAAAAAAATAAAGAAATAACAACAACAAAAAAGACAAGATATGAGGACCTTATAAGTTGCAAGGATACCGAGGCTGTGAGCGACGCTCACAAAACTGCTTGGCAAAGGGTCGCCCGCGGTTCGAACCCTCCATGTTGAGTTCAGGAGAACGACACTGAGCATGAACGTCACTGAGCCGATCGGAACAAAAAGAAACTCAAGCTAAACACAAGACGTGCCATGAATGATGGCACACTAAATATATCAGTAGGCATTTACTTTAGGTAACAAAATGACGAGAAAAACAAATATTATGCGCATTTTTCACCGCTTATATTGAAGGCACATTTCCTGTTCGATTTACAAGTTCATACGCAGAGTAAATACACTCTTCCACGTGGTATCATTAAGGCCTTCGCGTGAAAATATTTGTTACGACTTGTGAGGGCTAATGACGGGCTGAACGGCCATTTTGCTTCGGCGGTGGTGATCCGAGCACATCATGTATGCGACATTAGAACTAGAGATTCCGTGAACTTTTTGCGAAGCTTCGAAAGGATTGCAAAGGCTTTTTTTGCGCTGAGGTTTCCGATTGTTTTCAACCTTCCAATTTTTCGCGCTATG